ATATTTTGTCTGTCTGACAATTTCAAGCTAGAAATGTATTTTGAATTTTAATTTTTATATTAGGATTTTTAGATTTTTTAACTTTTAATTTTGTTTTTAATTTGTATATTGAAATGTATTTGATGATGTAATGAATTATTATTATTATTTGCTATCTATTATTAATATTTAAGTGAAGACCAGGTTTAAAAGTTGAAAAAAACTGTATGAAATCGGACGGACTTTAACCACACCGTGTAAACCAGCGTTGGAAGTTGTACGATCTGTTAAAGTATGTGTTAAGATTTATGGAAAGTCTAGCGTATGTAGATTTAAAGACAATATTGCCCTCCATTCCACCTTATTTTAGAAACAGTTTGTGACGAAAAAACGAACTACCCAAAAATGCGACAAGTTTTTAGAAGTAGGTCAACTTAAGTACATACTCATCCTGTATAACAATCGTTGGAAAGCCCCACCTCCCCTTTATTGTATTGTAGTGTATTGTATCATGAATAAGTATATACTGTTAGCTTCCAGAAGCGGAAGAGATTGAAAAAATATGAAACATAACAAACCAAGCTTAAATAGTTAACTTTTAAGAGTTACATAATTATTTTAGGCAACCACAATATTTACACTAATTTATGAACAAAGTTACAATCGTCTATTTCTTACAGTTCATACACACAATGTGACATAAAGGAATAGTTTTCACTATCCTGAGGCGATGTTGCTTTGACTAAAACTGAGTATTTTTTAACACCAACTAAGTATTTTTTATTAAGTAATATAATTGATAAGAAATAGGTTCAAGCCAATGTCGAGCCACACATATTTAGTGAAGGTTTTCGTAGCTTATAACAAATTGTAACTAACTAATTTGTTATCTAAGCGAAATTCACAGAAAAGGTACATTATATATGCTACGCACTATTACCCTTAAACTGATAGAGCTAACCGAGTCGTACTTATTTAATTGTTTTCGTAGTTGCAGCGAGTTTTATATTAAATATTGCAGTTATACAATTATTGTAGGATTCATCAACACAATAGGTTTATTCCAAAAACATATGCGCATTTAAATCGTCTTGTGAAAATATATTGTACTATTAGCTAACCCACGCAACTACGTCTGCTTCTCCCAAAGGGAATAATTTCCCCCGTTTTTACAACATTTTTCATTGATACTCGTCTCCTATTGGTCATAGCATGATGTTATTATAGCCTACTAGTTTTGCCCTTTCTTTTTTTTTCGTGCGGAAATCGCAACGCGCTCGTCGCCAACTAGTTTTGCCCTCGGCTCCGCGGTAAAAAGTATGTCTTTCCTCAAGAATCAAGATATCTGCGTACCTACCAAATTTCATCTAAATCGGTTCAGCGGTAATTGATTCCCCCATACCAACTTCCACCCCCTTTTCACCCTGTTAAAGGATGATTTCTGGGATTAACAACGAAAGTAAAAAAATTACTTATTTTTTGATAAGTAAAAAAACATATATGTGGAGTAGTTTTTATTTTTGATAGAAAATATAAATTTAATATACTAAGAGTTTTGAATCGATAAGTTAAAAAAAAGTTTCTATGTTACTAGCCTATGTTCTTCCTCAAGAATCAAATTATCACCATACCTTATTAAATCTAAATACAAATTGGATTTAAGGATGATCTCTGGGATGGAAACTACCATTGTGCTTTCCCGGGAATCGGACTATCCATTACGCCAAATTTCATCTAAATCGGTTCAGCGGTTTAAGCGTGAAGAGGCAAAAGACAGGCAGACAGAAAGACAGACAGATAAACTTTCGCATTTATAATATTGATATTCTGCCTCGATAAAGGGCCATCGAACCCTAGAAGATTTTTTTACTTCGAACTAGCAGTTCCTGAGATTAACCAGAACATACTTTATAATATTAGTGGAGATGGTAATCGGATTGTTCTGGCAGTGAGACTATAAGTGGTTTATCTTAGGAGCCATGATAGATTCATAATTATTTTTGTTGAGCACGATAAGGTAGCTATCTTAATCAAAACTATTTAAATCATACGGCCTCTTTGATATTAAATTAATTGCCGGGAGTGGGATCAAAGTACGATAAACCGAGCCGACGATTCGAGATGGGGTGACAAGATACCCTACACGTCACAAACAACTTTTGCAGAGGCTTTCGTCCTTGCCAAGGACAAAAGAAGCCCCTAGCTTGATTTATCCTTTAAAAAATCCATAATTTATTTTAAGGTTTAATCTTTAGAAGATCGTTATTTGAGTTTACAGATATTGAAGTTACTCATTAAGTTAATTACACTCTTAATTTAATTACTTCTAATTAATCATATTTTTAAATTTAAGCTATCTGGTTGTCTACAACCGTACACTGACACTATTAAACAACAATGTTTTGGTTAACTGACAGGTCAAATCCGTAACTCACATTAATTCTAAAAAAGGGGCCTACTACGTACGAGTATGTTGAAACTTGTGTGAAAAAAATCTTTCTGTAAACTTTGTACCAGTGACGTATTTACCCTAGGGTCAAGGGAGTTGCGCCCTGGGCGGCAGGTCAAGAGAGGCAGTCTAACCAAATTCATAATCGTCACCTACACGCCTACCTATTATTTTTTATTGCTACTGTTCGATTTGACCTTTCTAAAAGAAATTGAACATACGACCTATCAACATCACACAGTTAGTTAAGGACTTAACTAGCCGTCAAAGTTGCGGAAGACCATTTAAAATTACGATTTTAAATTTCATTTCACAAAAAAAAAATTAGAAGCTTTTTGTTGACATAGACTGGAAGGTACTTATAAGAAGGATGTCCGAAACACTAAATTTTTGTTCCAGAGACGCCTGTCGTAATTTACGAAATATACATTACAAAACTAAAAAAGAATTAGTTTATTTCATAAAACATACAACCAAATTATTGTATATATCACAATATTAAATTATTTTCTTTATTGTTTTAAAAAAAGAAAAGAATATGATCATCAGATATTTGTTAGAAAATTTGAAAAAGAAAACAAACAGATAAATTCCAAGGCGAGGCGACTGTGTCCTCGATGGAACGTCGAGCGAGCTTCCGGTGGAGCCTACGCTACTTCCGCCTAACTTATACCTACAACGTCAGATACTATTGAAATAACTTTGAAATACAAGTTAGTAAATAAAAACTATCGCTAAAGTAGACACAATCCGACATTAATAAGTACTAACACTACATATTATAATAATGGTTACTTTACCTTTATCGACCAAAATTTATATTATTGTATACCCAAGTATACAACTGTGGTAACGAGTTAAGAATACGGAGTGTCACCACCCTTATACATCCCGTGGATGTCGTAAGAGCCGAATAAGGGAGCAACCTACGCAGGACAACAATACTGCAAACAGAACAAAAACTTCACACAAATCCTATACGATCCAGTCTGGCCAGCGTAATACAGTAGGCCAAAACCTTCTTTCTAAGGAGGGCTTATGTCCAGCAGTGGACTATTATAGGCTAATATTTATAATATATGGATAAAAATAATACTAATAATATCTTAGAACATAAATATGGGGAAGCTAGCTTGAAACGACAGTCAGAGTGTTATAATTCTAGTTAATATTTGCATGCCATTCACCTGAATGAAAAACTTTCAGAAAAACTCGAGGCCTTAAGGGAAATCGCTTGTTATTGAGCATTTTATACATTACTTTAATTAGGCCGTTTATGTTTTGTTAATGTTTCCTAGGTAATAAAAATAACTATTACTGCCAATTCAATATTTTAAAAACTTTGCTGTAACAGATATTACGAACGATGTCTCGGTCTCAACTGGTCGCTCATTAAAAACTTTTTTTCTAATCAGTATTGAGACAAAGAACAAAATTAAAACTATTTTAGTCCGAAACAAGGTCTTTGTTTTATATCTGTTGACAATAGTATCGGATAGCGTTTGTTAACGAGGAAACTTTAAGACCTCGATAAGCACATTTGAAGGCTAACACGGACAGATTTCAAAGTATAATAAATATTAAAGTTCTCTGATCTGACGGTTGAATTGCAATTGTTTTAAATATCTTGCTTTAGATCGGTATAAATAACACTGACATTGTATAGGCTAGGATATTGTATATATATATAAGTTTACTTGCTGCTCTTCTTTTTCGTTCTTTCTACTCCAAATATGATGTGCTACCGTGCGCCGTTCAAGTATTCGAAAAAAAAATTGATATTGAAGAAAAGAAATCACAATTTCAAAATTCGGGCAAAAGCTAGTGTACGATAACTTGTTAACTAGTAAATAGTTCTGAATTCAAACGTATCAATAATGAAGTTTGTTATATTTAACAAATTTAAAAGCGAGTTAAATACACTTATTTCTAATCTAATCACTTTCCTTCTATATTTGGTGCTAAGAGGAAAAAAGCAAATTAATCCATTTACGTCTGAATTTGAATATTGTTGCTTTATGTTTTAGCAATTACAATGATTAATAAAAGTAAAATTGTTTATAGAAATGTCGTCTAGGCTAGTAGAATCAATTTATTTTGAAAATAATATGGGGTTTTACATTATAAATAATCTCTTATCCACTAGTATGGTTTGTAAATAACTCAATAATAGTTCCTAATCTTTTTATGGGAACATATTTGCATAAAACAGCACAACATACACATCTTTGACGAGATCTACAGTACTCGAAGTCGAAACAATCGAAGCTTCACGAGAGAAACTTGGAAGAAAATAAATTACTTAGAGAAACTTTTTTCAGTTTTATACAAGTTTTTTACATTATCGTAAGTTAGAGAGCTCGGAATTGCTCGGAATTTCCTTGCCTAATAACTATAGTACTCAGTGGACAGCAATAGCCTTGCTTATTACGTAAGTAGGACTAAAATCATGATAGACGGCAAAATGTGAATGCAAAACATGAATGAGAGTGGTCAATAGACAATTATTTAAAATAGAAGAACATCTATAGTAGTTACACTAGTATTTTTGTGTTGATTTCCAGAAAGGGGCATGTACCTGGGATCACCGTGTGAGTTCACGTGCAACCCGAAACTACTCCACGTGTACTGCGACCCTACGAGCGCCTCGTGTCAATGCGACCCGAAGCATCCAGTCGCGCTCGGCGTGGCCACAGGATGTGCCAAGGGTTAGTGCTTATTAATGAGAAGAAGGGCTGAAGATGAAAATCATAAAAAAATATTTTTTTGGTAGGTAAAAAACTCTAATTTGACTGTTTTGCATATAACTGCAACAAAAAAGCGAGATGATTTCGCAATCAGAGGGCCTAGTGCTAGTTTATTTTACATCAACTCGCTCTCGACGACAACGTGTTTGGCGTTGCGGTTTCTGAAGATTTCAGATGGTACATCAACTCGATCGTCACGGTAACGTTGACGTTGCGATTGGCCCGCACTGAAGTTTTTACTTACCGCAATCACCTTCTGATTGTTTTATCTATCTGATTTTAAGGACATCTCATTTTGATTTATTTACAAAAGAAATGTAAATAAAATAAATGTTGTCATCTGAAGTAACCAAAAAATCTACCAGGTTATGAACATTTGACAAACAATACATCAACTTGGCTCTTGGCATCTTACTTGATAAGTTACATAAACTGGCTTACAACTTTTCGGTTATACCTTTTGAAAAAAGTTGATGAATACCTTTACACAAAACAATACATACCTACCTATTACAAACACGGTGTTGCTCGAAATTTCACCCATGTTTACGATCTCTGCCCTCTGTTTAGCGAAGAAAAGCTAAAAAATTATTCAGCCTTACACTTATATGAAAGAATTAAAATGGAAGGTTTCCAATTTATTTGATAACCTTGATATGTGAAACCTAAGAACATAGGAGTTTAAAACAAATACATTAAATTGTAACGATCATCTGCTTGTACAGGGCTATCCCGAAAGCTCTCAAAGGGATCCTTTTTAACACGCTTTTATTAGCTTGGTATGTATGTATCCATGTAAGTATCGAACGTGATTTTGACCCACTTCAAAACGTTAAATTAAATTGAAACTTTGCACACTTATCAAGGACCGATGACAGTATAATAATTAGATTAATTTGGCCGATTATCCTGAGGATCTTCAGGATTGATGACTTTTTCCACAACTAAAAATACGGTAGTGACTCGTGCTATTACGTACTAAGATGCTTTTGATGAAACATATGTGACTTACTTACTTGTTAATTTTATAGTCTTAACATAAAAATAATCATCACGAATGACTAAAAAAGCAAAACAAAATATTATTTTAAAAACAAAAACTAGACGTTTTTTTCTATGGTTTCAAAAAGAAAAATCAATTTAACGTAAATAAAGCGTTCTACTTTTTAGTTCGGCTAAAACAAAAGCGTGTTTTTTAGTTTTTTTAAACTATAATTTATTGGATCAAGTTTCGCCCACAGATACTTCGGAGTAAATAAGAATAAAATATAACAGGATCAGTGTCCGTGTAGTGACGGATTAAGAATACGGAATGTCACTACCCCAATTCATCCCGTGGGTGTCGTAAGAGCCGACTAAGGGCGCAAAACAACACAGGTCACCAGCACTGCAAAAAGAAGGACAACTTGACACAAACCCTTTTTTTTTTTTTTTTTTTAACGTGTGGAAATCCCCTCGGACCGTCACCCCTCCGGGGTTTGCGGCGGAGTGGTGTGTCGGACTCGGACCGACTAAAACCACACGGTGTGCCACTCTGCGCCTGTAACAGGAGGGATCCGGGAACAGCTGTTGTTAAGACATCCGGACCCCTCCTAGCGCCAGCCCGCTCCTGGTGCGGGCTCCGTCTCAATATTGTTGTTTTCCTCTCTTTAGGCGACGTCCGGCACACGCGGACGCCACCCCCTCGCGGCTGGCCAAACTAATGCGGGTGGAGGGGAAACCCACCCCGTCCACCCGCGGCCACACTCACGTCGGCATGAGGCTGTGGTAGGCGGGCCTCCGCCGCCCGGTTCGCCGGCGGCGGATCGGGTCCGAGTGGAGGTCGTCCTCCCGGGCCCTCTCCGCCGCCTCCTTCCGCGAGATTACTACCTCGCAGAAGGTTGCGACCGCGGTAAAACAACTGTCGCTACCGGCCATGGAGCGTACTACGGCCGGTAGCGAGAGATCCACTCCGATGACTGCAGTGAGGGCCCGGCGCTGCGCCGCCCATGCGGGGCAGACCGCCAGCGTGTGCTGGGCCGAGTCCTCACTGCAGTCGCAGTGGTGGCAGGCGGGACTCAGTTCCCTCCTAGCGACCGTGTGCAGGTACTTTCCGAAGCAACCGTGCCCGGAAAGCACCTGCGTCAGTCGGAAGGAAAGGGTCCCGTGCTGCCGCCCTGCCCACTCGGCGATGACCGGCTGGAGAGCCTCCACGGCGGCGAAGCCAGCGCGTGGAGTCTCCAGCCGGAACGACCAACGAGCCATCGTGGCTCGGCGAGCGGCTTCGCGCCACTCGCGCACATCCTCGGGCGGAGGGCGAAATCCGCTCTCCGCCCGGAAGTCAGCCACTCGCCGATAAACTTCGGCGAGCACTTCCGCCTCCAAATCCCACGGGGGAGTTCCGGCCAACGCGCATGCCACCTCCGTAGAAACGGTGCGGTAACCGCGTATGGCTCTGACCGCCATTACCCTCTGAGGGCGCCAGAGGCGTACCCTATTCTGGGCGGTCAGAGCCGCCGCCCACACCGGTGCACCGTACAGCGCCATTGACCGGACAACCCCCGTGTACAGCCGTCTTGTCGCGACGCTGGGTCCACCCATATTGGGCAAGAGTCGCCCTAGGGCAGACGCAGCGCCGACCAGCTTTGGAGCAAGCTGTCGGAAGTGCTCGTCGAAGAGCCACCTCCCGTCGAGGATCAGGCCCAGATATTTCATCTGGGCCCGAACCGGTACGAGGACCGAGTTGACCACGATTGAGGCGCCAGGGGGTGGACCACGACGGGGCCCATGGAATAACAGGGCCTCCGTCTTATCTAGGGCCACCCGTAAGCCCAGCGCCTCAATGCGCCCGACCACCAGGGAGACTCCCCCTGTGGCCAGGCGCGCCGCCTCTTGGAAGTTTGCCCTCCGGGCTGTCACGAGGGTATCGTCTGCGTAACAGATTACACCCAGCCCGGGGGGGAAATCGGCGCGAAGGGCCCAGTCGTACCCTATGTTCCACAAGAGGGGTCCAAGAACAGACACCGCACGACATGGGCCGACTCCTCAAATTACCTTCTCGGTCCTTGTACACGACGGTACGCTCCTCTAAGTAGTCTGCCACTAGCCGCCTCAGGTACTTTGGCACCCCATGATAGTGGAGTGCTTCCCTGATGCAGCTGAATGGCAGACTATTGAATGCGTTGGCGATGTCTAATGACACCGCCAACAGCACGCCGCCACAGCTCACTGCCTCTTCGGTCACGGCCCTCAGGCGCAACACGGCGTCGACTGTCGAACGCCCCGCCCGAAAACCAAATTGGGCGTCCGACAGATCGGGGCCCACCTCGCAGAGGTGCCGGACGATGCGCGCAGAAAGAACCCTCTCAAACAATTTGGCCGCCTCGTCCTGCAGCACGATGGGCCTATAGGCCGCGACCGAATCGGCAGGCCGTCCCGGCTTCCTCAATAGGACCAGCTTCCCGCTCTTCCAGCACTCAGGGAAGCGTCCCGACGCCAAGCTAGCGTCGAACACCTCCCCGAGGCGGTCTGCCATGTGGTTGAGGGCCAGGGCCAGCACTCGGGCCGGTACCCCGTCTGGCCCAGGGGCGGTGTTCTTGGAACGGATCCGTAGAACAGCCGCCCCTACCTCCGAATCCCGGACGGGCGGAACATTGTCCTCCCCGTGCTCCCCGTCGTCTCCGGCCAGGGAGGCCATCGACGGGGGAGTGTGTTCCGCTCGTTGTGGGAAAAGGCCCTCAACCACTTCTCGCAGGAAGCTGGGCTGGAGAGTCTCCGTAAGGGGGGGGCCCGACGCGCGGAGCTTTTGTCGCACCGCGCGGTAAGGGCGACCCCAGGGGTCACGATTAAGACCCTCCAGCATCTCCTGTCTTTTTTCCTCTTTGGCGCGGCTAATGGCCAGCTTCAGAGTTTTCCGCGCCCGTCGGTACTCCTCATGAAGCCGGTCCTCCTCACCGTCTCCACAGTGACGCCGCCGACTGCGTGTGTAGGACCTCCGGGCACGTGTACAGGCCGCACGGAGGTCCGCCAGCTCCTGGGACCACCAGTAGACCTCCTTCCTTGGAGGCCGACGACCTCGAATGCGGGGCATGGCCGCATCGCAGATATGCGTAATCGCATCGCGAAAGCGGCCAGCCCCCACGTCGACCTCCTCGGTCGGAGCCTGAGGAGACAGCCACGAGTGAATTATGGCTGCCTCCTCTAGTAGGTCCCGAAACCCTATATCAACCCGTCTGGCCAGCGTGGTGTAGTAGGCCAAAACCTCCTTTCTAAGGAGAGGCCTATATCCAGCAGTGGACTATTAAAGGCTGATGATGTGATGTGTGATGTGATAACAGGATCGGCATGACGAATGTAATAGTAGGTGCGAAATCACTTACCAAACAGGTGACCGCTCGCTTGCCCAATTTAGTACTTATAAGTTGTTTTGAACACTTTGTTCAGTGTGTCAACTTAACAATTTTAATTACTAATGGGATTGTTACATAGCAATATAGGTATTTTTTTTTATTATTTTCAGCAAAGAAACTTGGAGAGCAATGTTTTTATCGTCAAACGTGCCAGGCATTCGACGCTCACTCGTCGTGTGTGCAAGTCAACCATAACGCGTATTGCCAGTGCGATCCCGGTTACCACAGCACTAGTCACAGTAGGCCTACGCACAGGGTCTTCTGCACTGAAGGTAAATCCCAACTAATTGCAAACGGATGAAATCGATTAGGACTGTGTTTATTTGTTACTTCATGAAATTTTAAGTTATCCTTAAGGATTCAGAAAAGGACATCATGTAAATTCTCAATGATTTCTATTTCCTAAATGTATTTAACCAGTCTTATTGCCGTCCATTGCTAAACGAAGGAGCGCTAACCATCTCTGTCTTGGGCAATCCGACCATAAGTGTTAAGCAATTATGTGAAGTCTGTTGTCTTTATTAAGTAATTGATTTATTAAGCTTGTTGAATTAAATTTTAAATGGCTTTGAATTGAATTGTATGGAATTTCGTTTTTGACGAATTACTGAAATGAGTCATTCGACTCTTTAGCAATGACTTAACAATAGTTATCGTAAAAAGCTGAGCAATGTTTAAAGGCTTGTTCCTCAATTTTTTCTCATTATTGAATACCAGATCTGGTGTTGCTGACGGCTGACATGCCGACGCTGCTGGGTGTAGCGTCGGGTATCTTCGTTCTCGGGGGGCTGTTGTGTATGGTGCTGCATCTATACACCAAAGCGCGCTACCACCCTACACATCTTGCCGATGCACGACTAACTCCGCCCTGCTTGTACTCGCTCAATGATACGGGTATGAAATATATATATATGACCCAATTTTGAGCCCTGCGGACACCTTGACAAACCAAATACTTACCATCAATTTTAATCAATGATTTTTTTTAATATAATTTTTTTTTAAATATTATTATATATTAAAAAGTCTTTGAATTTTGAGTAATATATAAAATCAGCACTTCACACGCTTAGTCTAAACCCAAAGTAAAGTATTTTTTTCCTCCAATAGGGATTTGCCGGATTTTTCAGGAATTTTTCACTAATTCTACCTGTCTGATAGTGTTCCTTTGACAAAATAATAAAAGCATTACAACTTTCCTATAAATTAATATAAATTGTCCTGCAATAATAAATCGTTATGCAATAATATAAAATAACAGCCGCAGTTACTATTTATATAGCATCATTAATGTTTGAACGCCAGGTGGCACGCTGAGTGCGACACGGGCATCTTCCCGAGCATCGTCCCGCAGCGGCTGCACTAGCGGTACCCTAGACTTGGAGGGTGGGGGTGTGAGCGGTTCCGTCGGTTCACGGCGGACGTCCCGTCGTGGGGTGCCAGTGTCGGCGTCGCGGGCAGGTGCGGCGCGGCAGGCGGCCATCTTGCTCATCTCGCGCCACCTTCACGTGCGGGGTGCAGGGGTTGGAGGGGGCGGGACGCCGCTGGGGTCCTTGAGGCGGGACGGCGGCGCGCACCCGCCTAAGTGCGCCGCCAAAGGTGATCTGGATAATGTATGCAGCGCGGCCCCATCATCTGCACGTCTCGGTGTCCGGGCGGTGAACACCCTGACCGCACCGACCGAACGCTCTCCAAAACTTTGCTCCACTCCTATGTAAATCATTTATTAAATATTGACGGACCTTTGAAGTAAAAGAACAAACCTGGAGTATTACCAACCTGTTTACACTAATTGCCCTAACTTGGGACTATTACCATAAACCTATTTTGGTCGCCTGCACATATGATAGTGATAGTAAAAGCCGGCTCTCCCAACCACCATTAAATTTAATAGCAAAGTGCGATAAGCATTCGGGAGGTGTCGGTAAACGCATGAGATGTGTTCCGTCCGTGTCCGTTAGATGTTGCGTCTTGGTGTTAGCAACCACGAACTGACTCCAGTCTGCGACTGAGCGACCATCGAACTTCCTTGGCCAAATATGCTGAATTATTTCTTCTAAAACTTTAGTCGTCTTCAGAAGACAATTGGAAACATATAAACTGCCCAATAACTCTTCATTGCTTCAATATAATTTATATATAAACCCAAAACGGACGGTAATATAGTGACCCTAAAAAACTATTTTAAACAACGATCGTATAACAATCGTCTATTCTGGACGTTTCTTTCTTCATACTGTTTAACTTAATCTTGGAATGGTTCTCTGCCTCGAAAGACTTGACTTACTAGTGGAACCTGATCCTGAAACAATGTGACCTACCTCCGCATAAGCATAACTACGACTCTTCTCAGCATATTTGGTAAATTGTGAAACTGACGTAAGTATAGCTTGATGTGAGCTTTACTTGTGATTGGCTGTGGGCTTATGGCGCGAAGTCGCAGGATGAAGTGTATGGCGGCGCGAGCAAGATGGCCATGGTCCTATTCTAATTCCCACACGCCTAGTTTGTATGTGCTAGCGAAACTGAAGATCCAAAAATGGATACGAAGACTACCAAAATTCTGTATGTATTTCAATTATGCTTTACACTGAACAAGCAGTGCCGCATGAAAGTTGATCGCTTCAACATTCAGACCTATCACAATATCATTAAGTACTTTGTAATATTTTTGGGACAGTTATTCATAACAACTATTATGACCCGGTTATCGAAAAAAATATTAGTACCATCAATCCTAACATGCATAAAGCCATCGTTATGTCAAATAAAAGGAAAACAAATTTTGTGACAATAACATTTAAACATAGACGTTGGCAGCGTCACTATACATGAAATCACATGAATACGCTTGATTCAAAGTAATTTAAACGAAATAGACAAAAATCCTTATTGCGATTAACGAACATGTAGTACTGTTCGCGGGCACATTGGGAGGTTAGCAAAAGCTTCAGTTTCATGGCTCAACACTGCTTCAAGCTTCTACTCGTACATCTTATTGGCTGTGCATGTAAGCGTTCGCTTTCAGTCACCATAATTCTTTGGAGCCTGTGTGTCTATGTGCTCAAACTAAAACTAGCCCCTGGAGTATTACCGACTGTTTTTTAATCTCACTGATCTCCTTCAAAGTTAAGAAGTAGGTAAATTCTACTTATTTATTTTTACCACGTTATGTATAAAAATTTGAATCTTTTTGAATCTTATTTTCTTATGTCAAGGTCGCCAGGGTACTCTTCTAAATTTTCTTTCCTTAAGATACGGAATACAATGTAATCTATGTCATTTTTTAATCTTTTGAATTCTTTTGTAGTATGTCGAGCCTATAATATGTTAACTATCACGACTACCCGAACAAATACAATACAGTACCAAATAACTGTAATATAAATAACGAACCCATTTAAACATACAATTTTTTGGCAGATTATAAAATTCATTTTACACATTTTTTCCACAGGTTAATTTTACTTACACTACCTACACAATTTATGTTTATTTATTGTCATATCGCTTTGCTCTACCCGTTTGGTTATATGACGTTTAATTTACTAATCAATGATAATATGTATTTTAAGCACATTTTTACGATTTCACTACAGTACATTGAAGAAAATTAAAAAAATTAAACATAGTGCTTTTCACAATACCAAAGGAAAACTAAAAATTTAACCCATGCACATTGAGTAATCCTTACTTCAGTACGAAGATCTCTAATGCAGATACATTATGTGCAGGTTCGAGACGTCCAAGTCTGAGCTCAGTGCAGAGCAGTTCATCTTCCATCAGGAGCTACAGTGCAAAGCGGTGGGAGAGAGAAAGGGAGCAGAAGGAAAGACGACAGATGAGCATGCGTCTGGCTCAGCTCCATGACAAGATGGCGACGGGACGAGACATGCCAAAGCATGCCCCGACTCCATCACCTCGATCGCCTAACAACTCCACAGATGGACTGCTACCGTCTGTATGTGAGATTAGAGAAGTATGATCATTCCTCTAATTCTTTGTAGTAATATTATAATGTAATTAAAATACTTGTAGGTAGACTTCAAAATAATATATTTAACACTTTTGGACCTGTTACCCAGCTAATTCACGGCACAATAGGTAAAATATACACGCACTGTTTACATGTAGCTCCTTGACAACCAGTACAAATTACATTTTATACTTTCTTCCATGTAAATCCATGACAAATCAACTCAGTTTTGAAGCTATTTATAATGTGTGTTTACTGTTTTGTGTAGTACCTAGTGGATCTTTAGTAATCATTTGAAACTTTTGCATATTAGTATAGTAACCATGAATAGTGAAATAAAGTATCGTGAAAGTGAGGTTACAAAACTAACAAACTAACTAAAAAAGATAACTACATGTAAAAGGGAATGGAAGAAGGCTATTACTCTCCCGTCCCGAAGAAAAAGCACTAAGCATTGGCGAGCGGAGCATGATTTCTGACCCACATGAGCGATGGTCTGGAGCAACGCGTATAGCCGCCGCGAAGTGTTAACATCGACAACGGTTCATGGTGTGGTTTAATCGGTTTCAATTCAATGTAGCACTTCAGAGGACCCCTAGCAATTTATGTTTATAACAATACGTTTAGTGAACAATCCTCAACGATTAACGTTTCTGAAATCGGGAAGAAATACAAACCAACCCATTTACTTTACACGTACTTACAATTTACACATAAAATTTATATTTAATTTCCAAGTAAATATTATGGACTGTGCCGCATCTATACTGGCAGTTATAAAACCAGCACACCACATAGAGCAACACAGGCCACCGGCGCGGCGGACCGTGTTGCTCTATGGCACAGCATGACCAATATACCTACTTAAAACTTGCGTTCAAGTGTCAAATCAAAGTGTAAGCAACATTAGTGGTTAATATAAATATGTAACTACAGTTGATGTGAATGTCTACTTAAGTAGTACTTATCATTACAAACCATTTTAATATTGTACCTGCCATATTACAGCTGATAACGACGAATGAGACACAGTTGCAAGGAGTCGACGGCCCCTGTTCTTCCTCATCGCTTTACTGACACACGCCTCTCAACAAGACGACGCGGCGCTCCCTGGACTCCCTGTCGTCTGACGGCTCACCAGCTCTTGCGTGGATGTAGACGTCCAATCTTCTAGATTGCTACGAGACTTCACTTACAAGGGCTAATGTGATACAAGTATTTAGGATATCTTTAAATCTTCGTATTTCTATCGACTGTAGATAATTAGTTTAATGAGAAAAAAAATACTTCCCAGAAACAAGCTGTATAGTTAGAAGAGTAATATCTTGATCTAAGTACCTATTAATAAACTAATAACTACTTACAAGATACGCGACTCCTATTGTATGTGCATTATAGGAACCATGTTTTACAAACAATTGCGAATAGAGGTATCTTTAGTCATAAAATTCCAGCTTCGAACAATTGTCGTTGTCATCTATCGTTGTATGTGAATATTTTCAATCTTGTGAAATTGTGGCCACATTAGTCCGTGTTCGAGACTCCACTGACTGAATATAAATCTTTCGTCTACTCTTCAATATAATACGTCGAAGACTGAGAGAGAAGATACGGGGTTTTTACGTTCAAGGCGCCGCGTCTCGTAGAACATTCTAGAATAATGACTGAAGAACATTTTAGTGAATAACCATCGAAGATCACCGAATGTAAATAAAGTGTACCGAAAGGACTTTCGACGTCCCTACACGTAAAAGTTCATAAGGAATCCCAGTTGTTAATATTGTAAGTAACGCTTATGCTTTTAGTTATAGCGTCAGCGCTTCGAGTTTTGTTCAAATGTTATCGAAAACTTGGTGGAGTGGACAAATTTTTCGAAAGGAACTTACTTCACTTAAAATATAACCTAAACATACGAAACGGGATGGAAATGGTGGCAAATGTATATTAATTAAATGCTGTATGGAAAAATTATAAAAAAAAACATTAATTCTAATACTGTGCAACACTGTGCAGAATAGATTTTTATAAGTTGTTATTTAAAAACAGTAATATGTACTATAATAAAATAAATGTATGAAAAGTTTAATATGAAATCATTGTTTACTAGATTAATCATAGCAATGACACCACCGTGCTACACAAAGCAGTTAAAGATCCAGATTTTAACTGTCATGGATCTTTTTTAACATTTTTTTCCATCCGCAGCTAGATTAAAAATTAGTATTGAGATCTGGTGACATATGTCCAGACTTTAAAATATTCTGATTAAAAATATAAGACTAGTTTATCCTATAGCGATGTAAAAACCTTAATGTAAGTTGTTAACAATACAATTCATTTACGGTGTTTACATTTACGGAATAAGGTTACGTTTGAACTAGTAATATTGTATGTTTGTTTCTGTCAATTAAGTAAGATTTTGTTGTTTGCGTTTGTAGAGATCATACACAGACAAAACACATAACGGCAGTAATATTTTTAAACATTTACAATGTATCTATTTTATTACTATTGTACCTGATTGTTGATTTATATAATATGTTATTGATGCCGAATTTTTTATTATTTTAATATATTAGATTTAAAGTAGGTTTAGTTTATTATGTACGTCATGCGAAGAATACAAAACACGGATACTTTTAAAATCATCTGGTTATATCCTAAGAATCTAAATTTACTTTATTAGAAAACTTTATAAGAGTTTATAAACTCAAGCTTGACACAGACATGGCTACAAAATTTCGGCTATAATTTGGTTCGCATTTAATTGCAATACGCCTATTATGTCGGCAGCAAGCCTATTGCAATTAAACGGGTCTAAAATTGAAAGTAATTCTTACATTAAAGAAATTTGTTAGGAATGAAGAAGTAACTTTCTATAACCTGTTAATTTTATAAGTAATTTCCGTGGTATGGTAAAGTTAAACATGTACATTACACATACATATAAGTAGTTAGAATTGGAGTAATTGCGATGTGGCTCCGGCCAGGCCTTATAGTTCAGGAAACTGGAAGAGGAAGTGTGCTGATCATAGATACAAAAACATTTTGTACTCATGATGTAAATATAGTTTGGAGGATAGGTCATTTAGTGTTCGCTTGCCGGAATTTAAAGTTATTGCAATGTCTGATTTTTATTTTTAAAAGTAAATGGCTTGTCAGACTTCAATTTCTTAGTAATGAAAAAACAAAAATCTTCGTCCGAGGGCCGCCTTATATTAAGTAAGAAACGAGCGTTGTGCGAGTAAAAACCATCAGGCATACTTAGTAGAGTTGATTTTGCGTGTGCCCTTTTATTTATTTATTATTACTTACTGAAGATTAACGCTAAAAAATAATATTTGTTGCAAATGTTGCTATTATAACACACACAGAACAAAGTAACCGTCGTGCTTATCGCACAATTATTTGTTCTAGATGGGAATCGAACCCTCCACCCCCGGCTTAGCAGTCAGGGTCACTCACCATTAGTCTAGTAATGGTCCGTCACATTGGACTGTTAGTTATTCGGTAAAATAAAATAATTATGACTTATAAGAATTCAAAATCAGACATTGTACTGAACTAAAGGAAATTTAATAAAATTATGTAATCGTGATAACAAATTGTAGTTAATTACGAGAAATACCCCTTTGTTTTGTAATAGCACAAATGAAACGCGAATCAAATGATTCGATGTCGGATAATGTTGTTTTATCGCTGTTTGCATTGCCAAAATAAAATGTAAACTGAAACATGTTTTATTTTCACTAACTAGCTTTCCTAACAAGTATTTGCGGCAGCATTCCACTCTTTATAGCCTTATAACTATCTATTCATGTGTTGTGTGACTTTAATCTTTCAATTTTGGTGTTTTTTGTATTTTTAAAGGGCCTAACCTATCTACAGGCCCCGGTCCGCATCCTAAGATTATTAGGTACCTTAGTCGTATGTTGGACTAAAACCACACTGTGTTCCGTCGTATGTAACTCTATTGCAAGGGACTCGGGTATACACTAGGAAGGAAGTGAACCCCGGCAGACCTTGGCCGCCATTGGTAGCCGCACCATTGAATACAGAGGGCCTCGCCCTACATTCGGTTTAGGAGGACCTGAGGCCACTGTCTGAGGAGGATTATTAGGTATCTACCTACTTAATTTTATACGAATGTTTTTTGTATTATTGTATTTGTTAATGAGTGGCAGCAGCAGTTGTTTTGAAAATTCTAAATCAGTTTACAACACAGTTTGAACAGTACCTACGTCTTTCGGTGTCTAGTAATTTATAACTAGGTACTCGTATGGAAAAAATAGAATATTTGTGAAAATTATGTTATTGATTATGATGATGATGATTATGATTATGGGGTGGAAAATCCCTTCGGATCTTCGGCTCCTCGGGGACGCAGGAGCCAGAGTATGTGGTGTTTCCACTAAAAACCACCCCGACAGCCGGTCCTGCTCTGCGGAGAACCCGGACTATGTTATTTTAGGGCCCCTCCCCCCCCCCGGATCGACGTCGCACCTAGATAAGCCTTATCCCGGGGAGAGCAGGCTTCCCCACGCCTATCGGCCTTAGCAATGTGTGTTGTGGTCCGATCCACCCCTAAGTGTACAAAATGGGGTTTGGGAGTTAATATGAAACTTCGTTATTTTTGGTATAAGCGTTTTCAAACTCACAGTAAATACTCTTTATCGTGAAATAAATATATAATGAAAACCTTTGTTACTCATTTTTTAAAACAACCCTTAAAAAGGAGTGCAAGTTGGTATCGGAAATATTTTTCTAAAACTCTCAGTATAATAATATTCCATCTCAAACATAATATTGATTGGATACCTATTTTTTTAACTTTTTAAAACGGCTTTCTGAATCTGGACGAGATTTGGCTCATAGATAGATTATAGTCTAGAATAGCACCGATACTGCAATTTATCCAGACTAAATTTATTGTCAAAATTGGCATTAATGCTAGCGAAGCCATGGGCACGAGCTGGTAAAAAAAAACGAGTAGGTATGCTTTAAACCACACGACTGAAGTAAAATTTAACTTCCTGGCTATGAGAGAAAGAGAGAAAGAAAATGTGTGCTTCCACCTCTCTCTCTTGCCCCTCCAGTAATATACAAAACGTACCTCTCTCTCTTTCTATCTTGACTAACTTATATCTCCCTCTCAACTTCTGTTCGTCTCGCCCGATCACTCGAAAAGTAGGCGAACTTTCATTAGATGAATAAATGATTGGTTTTGGCAGCTGTGATTTCACCTGTGATAAATCACAACTTAGATTTGGTCATAGTCAAAGATAAATGCCATCAAAATCAATCAAACTGACCTTTTTTAGATTTAAACGCTATCGTAATTATAATAATAAGTCACAGTAATGTTGTAGATGAGTCACAGGTGTGATGAAAATATTTTTTAATCATATGATTAAACACAAGTGATTGTGATTTTATCCCATGCCTACTTTTCACCAAATAAGTGAGGTTACCAGTGCCCAAAACCCCAGATTTTGGGGGAGGACCCAAAGGTTGCCAATGCACTTGTGAGTCTTGAGTTGCAGGTGTCCATGATTGGCGGTAGTTGCCCTAGTGAGTAACACCTGCACCGAGCAGACGGGTCACCTGATAGTTCAGTTGACCCGTGTGCTCATTTGCTATCCTATGTCGGGGCCCACAGATAATCAATCCTCGGGGCCCCTTTTTACCAGTTTGAAGATTATTAGTTCTCCGACTCCCACATACAAAGAAACAGAAACATACTAGAGCGCCATCTAACGCAGATACACCGAACTAATGAGTAACTCCTGAATAAGACTTGCTAATCCTGTATATCCTGTAATTCTTCTGCAGCTCTTCGTGAATAGGTTATAGATAAGTGATGATCCAGGTGTAATTAGGATGATGGTAACAATTTATTTGAGATTAGACCGTCTTACGGTCTTATGATGAATCAGGACGGAAAAAAGAGGGGTGTTTATTAAATCCTATTTGAAATTGCGATAGGTTTCGATTTTCGCCAAAAAGAACACATGGAAAGTAGTATATTTTTATGTAGATGGAGAATAAATGAACCACTCTCGTTTAACGTTATGGCC